GGAAAGTACACATGAATTAGATCAATATTATACTTCATAAAACAAATTGAAATATAAAATTTTAGACATACAAGTAACAAATGTTGGGATTTAAAAATACACTATTAAGTTAAAATCTTTCCTGGTCCCTAAGAAATATGCAGAATTACAAATACGTGTGTTGGGAGTATAAATTAACTTTCTGACAGAAGAAAAATCCCTTTTGGATGATTTTACATCTCCAGTTTCTGGATGAGAAACATTGCTGAAAGTTTTGCCGAATTCAGCATATTCTCTTAAGTTATGTGAGCTATGAGAAAACTTAGCTGGGTTTATGCTTACTAAGGTTTTTTGGTAGCCTTTATGGTCTATATGATTTTTTCATAACCTTTAAATCAGAAAAGGCTTGATGTTTACTGTGATTGGTCTATTTGGATGAACCCACACCAGCTTGGATAAACTTTGCATGGGTTTTAAATAAAAAGAAGTTCAACATTCTCAATGGGCTCAATTTGTACCTATCTACAGATTGATAAATAAGATTTTTAAAAGTAGTACTATTATTTAGAACTTAAAATGGACATATACATTCTACATAAAAAAACCTCTTGCTATTTAATATTTTTTTAAATTATACTGTCCACTTCATGGTTTATTTCTAGTTGATTAAATGGGAAGGTTGTTGGGGCAAGGAATGTTCTATAGATGCTTGTACCACATACAGCACAGACAACGCAACAAATAATCATAAAAATGACTATGACAAACTTTCCACCACATTACTTGAGCATATCTGTACCATTGTGTAACATGTGGGCATCCTGGGGCTGGTTTGAACGCTAGCCTGCTCACTTGCCTGAGGACAAACCACCTGCCTCCTTCTTCTGGCATGCTTTGATGATACTAATTGAAAGATGGTACCCAGGCAGGAGGCTGCCCATTTACTTTCCCTGATGCCAAGGGCCTATACACATGGATCTGACCTGCCCTAAACGATGTTCCTTGCCTTGCAGATTGAATCCATGGCCTAAGACCTGACCTACAACTTGTCTGGCCTAACAACCGGCCACTCAATCAATCTGGGCTCCCAGGCCTTCCCTGGTCCTTGGTCTCCCAGGCCAGCTCTCCACCCCATCCACTCAGGACTTCCAGCCCCTACCTTTTCTCAGGCTCCAAGCCCAGCTCAGGACCCTCATGGTCCCCTCACACCCCACACTGGGCCTCAGCAATACACTTATCCCTTAGCCTGAGGAGCCTCATATCTAGCCCTCTTGGCTTAGGGCCCCACCCCCCTGGAGTCTCACATCTGACTCGTTAATGCCACTCAGGTCTTGCAGTGAGCCTGGAAGCTGCCTCATTTCCCTTCCTGACCTGAGCCCTGCCTCAGTACAAAGCATGAGCCTGCGCTCCTGCTTTCTTTTCGGGGTTTGCTTTCCTAGCCTTTCCCCTCCATGGAGTCACCTGCAAGGCAGCAGGGGCTGAGGTTTTCTGGCGTGCCATACTCACCCTTCACTGGGTAGGCACAGGTGTGGCATTTCCTGGAGACTGCCCTGCCCTCAGCAGTCTCACCACACCATCCAGCCCCAGCAGGGTATAGTTTTAAGTCATGCCCCAGGACCAAAAACCTCCGGCCATCCCCATAGCTCCTACCCTGTACTTCCAAAATGGTATGAGCAGCAACTCCAGCGAGGTGGTATTCTTCTCCCAGCTGCTAGCAGCAGACAGCTGGCTTTACTGCTCAAGAACCCTGCAGGCTGCTTTGCTGAATGCTCATGCCCCTATGAGTAACAGAGCACACCCTGTGCTCTGTTACACATTGCAAATATATATAAGCACATTTCCTATGTACATATTATTTCCATAATATTGTTTATATTGCTGAAGTACCTAGAAGTCCCAAAGAAATCATAGCACCATTGTTCTACATGTGTTACAGACATATAAGGTGTTATAGACATGTTCCAAGATGGAGGGGGGGGCACTTTAATTAAAGCAGCTCTGAGAGCTACTGTAATAAAAGTACCCGCAGCATCATGTATATTCAGCATCCTGTGCTTCAAAACAGCAGTGGGGTCTCTTTAACTAAAGCTCATTTGACAAGCTTTAGTTAAAGCCCCCCTGCTGCCATTTTGAAATGCGGGGTTGCTGAATACACATGACACAGAGGCTGCTAGAGTGTACTAATTAGCACACTCCAGCATACTCGCAGGAAACTCAAGTAATTGAGTCTGCTGTGATGCATGCACGTGCTAATTAGCATGCATTGGAGCAAAGCTCCACCACATGTATAGGTGCCCATAGAAGTGAAAGGGCCTGCTCCACCAGGCTTATAGTCTAAACAAAAGAAAAAGGAAGGATACAGGACCAAAGCGTGTACATTCACATATTATGAATTGTCTCCACAGTTTTTAAATACATATAAAGTTTATGCAGGAGCACATAAATCCCTGTGTGTTGCAATATAAATAATCATATTGTAGCAAGTTAAATATTAAACTTTTTAAAGTAAGATATGAGCACAACCCCCCAGTTTTCTACTTGAAATAGTCAGAGACCTATGTGCCTGCATGTTCCCATTTATGCATTAATATACATTTAAAACATGCATCTGGAGACAAATAAAAGAGAAAAGTCAATATTAGGTATATTAAATTACACTTGTTGTAAAGCAAAGTAATATTTTTAAAGCCACGTGTGTAGAATGTTTTCTATCAATGGATTTCTCTCACTGATGCAGTTAAACAGAATGTGTATTTGGACAGAAATCTTTCAATAGAATGGCCTACCAGATGGGACCAGTAACAATGCAGAAAAGCATCGAACCACCACAGACATTTGGTGTTTAGAATAATAAAAAGACTATAAAATTAGATTAGTTGAGTCTAATTTGGAATTGGTATATTCCCCATGCACTCTTGCAGCTCTTGGGCAGATAAAGGCTTGAGATTTAGTACTGTCAGGACAGAGAACTGCAACTTCCAGTAAAAGAAAAAAAGGCATTCTGGGAGGTCACAGAGGGCAGAGCAGTGACCTGCAATGATTTACAGGCCTTTAGCTTAATGAAATTGTTTCAGTGACATGACGGTAAAAGCTCATAATGGATTGGATGCCCTAATGTAATGAAATTACTCCCTTCTGCCTTAAAAAAAAAAGCACAATTAATATTTACTGAGACCTGACAGGCTTCAGTGTGCTGTACTGTGCAGTTCTTTCAGACAGTCAGTGAGAAGAGACAGAGCAGCGTGGCAGACTATGAGCAAACCTCCTCCTGGGTGACGAGCAAAGACTGCAAGGGGGTGGAGGGACACCTTAGTGACAGGAAAGCCTTGGAACCCGGTGCTCTAAGGCAGCTTGGTTACCCAGCAAGCCTTCATACTTTCCCTTCCTTCCTGCAGGCAACTGGACAACAACCAGATCAGCTGCATTGAAGATGGAGCCTTCAGAGCCCTGCGTGACTTGGAGATTCTGTGAGTTGACTTTGTGATTTCTTTTGTGTGTATGTGTGCGTGTGTTTCTTTCCATGCTGCAGTGCTATTTAAATGTAGAGATTGTATATGCCCTCATCTCACTCCAGACCAAAGTGTTATCACCAGTAAAGTGAAATTTCTCACCTCCCCCAGGCTGGGGTTATTGCTAATTAAACTACAATAGATGACTAATATCGTGATGCTCCTGAGGAGCACAGAAATTGCCATATTTGTTGCTGTGTGAAAGGGATGGGGTTCAACAATATCCAAAGCTCAGGCAGTATATGCTCTGTAGAGCCAGAAGCTTATTCAAGTACATATAATGTGGAGTAAGGGATGGGTAACAGGTTTGGAGAGAAGATTTAGAGATACCTTGCAATAACCTGGAGAGAGGATTTGATTTATTTTTAAAGGGGGTGGGGGGCGGGGTGTGTAGGGGCATCAACAAGACTGGTCAATGAATTGACTGCGAGGGGAGGTCCAATTCTAAGAACTAAAATAATATCAAGTTTTGTTCAATATGTAATAGGAACTTTATCCATCAGCTTTTAAAGCTGCAGACAACAGCTTTACAAACAGACAGACAAGCTTGAGCCTTTGATATTATCTCAAGCTTCTATAAAGTACATCCTTTTGAATGCTTTAAGTGAAATAGCAGAACGGCAATAAGCATAAATTTCATAATTTTTAAATAGGATTCAGCAGTGAAGCCAGTATTTCTGATACAGACATGTGAACTAGGTTGTGTGTACTACTCATTTTCTGTAAAATTGAATATTACACATATTTAAATATCTAGACAGAGAATGATTTGACTGTTTCTAATGTGGTTAATTATTTGAGCAAAGAGACATTTTCTAATATACTGCTTGACTAAATAAGCTGATTCAAAGCCTTTCCTGTAATCTGAAAGTTAATTCTTCAAAGCATAGTGCATTAACATTTCTTAAGATATGCAACTGTGGTAAAAAAAGTGGGGGAGGATTGAATACAAACCTCTGATTTAGCACCTGAAGCAAAGGTAAGAGTGGTCCAGTACAGAAAGTATATGCAATGAAATACAGGAAAGAAGGCCCCATCCACTACTAAAAAAGGTAGTGCTTATTTAAATGATACAAAACCATGGATGGTTGTTACACGTGCCTCGTGCAGGCAAGCTAACCTGGAGATACTTCGGTATCAACAACAGAGGCTTTTGAATTCTGAGTCCTGGCAATACAAAGGACTATACATGCAAAGCATAAATTAATAACCAAAAGCCTAAAAATGCCTGTATAATGCTATAGGAGTTCTTACCTAAGGATCCTCTCCTGCTCTCACTAAAGCCAATGAGAGTTTTGGCTTCAATTTTGGCATTAGCAGGATCAGACTTCCAAATTACTTAAGGCTATTTTCATGATTATCTCAGATAATCATTTAGGTACTTATGGTCTCTTCCTGTCAAGTCCTGAAATCACTATACATAATAAATATATTGCTATTAATCAGAAATTGTTTTTTGCTCACACTGAGCTCGCATTAGGAATTTAAAGGATCACTTAGCTGCAAACTTGTTTTATAAAGAATACAGGCTAGAAAGGAAGGACATTTATTGTGAATTAATAACATTTGTAGAAAAGGTAATGAAATGCCAGAATGAAGTTGTCCAACTCTATCAGATCAAAAGGACTATTCTATTTAAAAAAGAGGAAAAAACAAAACAAAACAGAGATCAGTAGCTGGCTATTATAAAACTGATCCAGTTATTCAAAAGCTTATGTTCAGTTCTAATGCTTTTGTTGATAGCATTTTTTGTCATCTGTGTAGTGTGTCTAAGTCCTCTACTAACACTAGATTGTGCTATAACTTGCACCAAAATATATTGATTAGCCATATATATTAATTTTTCAGCATAACATTCCAAATTCTTTTGGTTCTAGCATACTTGATAGATGCACTTTTCTGTTCCCTGTTGTTTCCAGACCCTATTAAATCTTGAATTAGTTTACATAACCATTTGTGCATGATGGTTTAATTCTAAACCATTCCCAAATCAATACAGTTGTTGAGAGGAAAAATTGTTCTATTCTTGCTCAGAGTGTAAAATTAGTCATAATCATTCAATCTGTGAATTTTTAATTTTCAACACAGGCATGCTGCTATGGGGAAAAAATCAATCTTAATTCTAAGAGATGAGAAAATTAGTTGGTACTAAATATTTCTAAAGGGATCTTCCTTGCCAAGACAAAATCCCAGCTGTATTTTTCCTCCCTAGTTTGAATTGTTTACCTTACTAATTTTGAATACTTCAGAAAGTCTCTGAAATAAAACACAGCACTTCAACTTGTAAGAGAATGTCACACCTTCAGCTTTAAAATAGTCACAAAGAGTAAAATATTAAAACATTCTGAGCCAGTGGAAGGCATGGTAAAAGTGAAACTGGGAGTACCTCAAGGGAGCACAGACAGTATTCCAAAAATTTCAGGCAAGTACATTTGCACATGTAGTGTGTCACGAAATGAGTGTATAATAATTTTGGCAGGTATCATTTTGGAACTAATGAATGTTAATAATTTGCAAAGATACCCAATGGATTGAAACCTGTTCATTTCATTTATCTACAAATTAAAAGCTTGCAGTCTTTTTCAGACAGCGCACATATGTGCGCACATGTGTATGTGCACTAACACACACACATGCTTGCATGAATGCAAAATTTTGCCTGCATTGCAAACTGTTCAGGGCAGAGAATAGGATCTTTGTGTTTTTTATGGTGAGGGAAGGGTTCCCCTCTGTTGGTAACCTGCCTTGCTCATTTTTAGTGTTATTCAGAAGATAAATAGCTACACTTAGTTTTAACAAGTCCATTTCCATGTTATATTTGTCTCTTAAATGAAGAGAGGCAAAAGAGGTTCTACAGAAGCTTTGCAAAATACTAGATTTAAAACTGAGAAAGAAATCACATAGGCAAATTGTCCCAGAGAAAGGAGAGAGTCCCATGAACTGTTAATGGCTCTTAGTTGTCAGGCAAAACTTGATGCATGTATAGGCACCTACTTTAGTTTCGTAGTTTTTCTTTTTCTCTGGTTGTGAAGACAGCTGTTTTCCAGCAAAGTGCAAATCAAGCAGAGCCAATGATAAAACTGGACCTAAAGTAGTAGTTAATTGCACTACTCCGACATTATAATGCCAGCTTCTTTGCCACTGCAAGTCACCTTTGGGGTGGTGCAATTAATTTGTAATTGAAGCTACCAGTCTGATCAAAAAACAGGCACTGTGTATGTCTCCCAACATCACTTACGTCTTTTGATCACTACCCTGTTTATCAGTCTCTTTCTGATGCCTTAGAGCCCCCAGTGGCCCCAATCCAATAATTTTATAGGCAAATGCTTGGATCTGTGCAGAGTCCATTGTCCATGACAGGATGCTAGACACAAAGGAATGCCTATGAGACTCAGATTACAGGATCTAGGCCTGAAGTTGTTTCACAAACTCTTAAAAATGTTGGAAATAAAGAGAGACTTACATTTGTCACCTTTCTTTACTTCTAAATCAAGGCATTGATAAATGTCTTTGCATAGACAAGAACTGACATAATTACTTTTTAGTTGTTTCAGATTTTTTTATTGTTTATACAAATGTTTATTTAGAATAATGCTAGTATAATGGTTGAGGATTTTTTTTTCATTTCTCGCTTTTCCCTCTGCATATTTTTTATTATTTTGTCCTTAACTCTTAAGCCGTAAGGAAAAAAATGCATGAAATCAATAAAATCATAATACAATATAAACTTACCATGCATTTATGAAGTGGCACAACAAAAATATTTTGTGAATGATATCCTGGTAAGAAGTAAACATGTAGAAAACTTGAGCAAAATTTGTGTGGATTTTCCACCCAAAAAGTGTTTGTTCTGTGAGGAAAGGATTATTCAGTTCTACTTCAGTGAATTTTTGGCTTATAGTACCAAGATATTAACATAAGACATAACAGCGTTTTGAAAAATGTTTATTAAGGTGTTAAACTGAACTAGCTTAGCTAGTGACAAGCTAAAATTCATTTAAAAAACAAAATAACTGCAACCCCCCCAAAACCTTCTATCCACATGTGCATAGCTATTGACAACATGCCATTCATTTTTTTTCAAAATTAGAAGGATATTAGCAAACATCTTGATTTTTTAAGTCATCAGAAGGATATCTGGTCACTAATAAAGCTGTTTGTTAACAATTTTGTCATTGATTTTTTAGAACTTCCTTTCAAAAGAAGTTCTAGAAAAAGGCATAATGAATGATGGCATGAGTTCATTATGTCCAGCCAAAATGGACAAGTATTGAGTATGAGCTGGACTTTTCGGCTGTTGCCATCAGCAGTGAAATGCTAAATAATCTGGGTGTCCTTAGTTATCCAGTTTTTAGGATGATTGCTTCAAAAAAAGACATGGAGAAGAAAAAGA